CTACCACTACATGTTATATTTTTTCCTATCCTAATAGTTTCTCTGAAAAATTCTTTGGCTCATAGCTTAAACACCTAATGAGTGAAGAGATGGAAGCAGATAGGAAAACAAAAGAAGAGAAAGAAATTTAATAGACTAAGGAAAGAAAGAAACAAGCAACAAAAAAAGAGGATGGTAGGAGATAAAGGGAGACAGAAATAAATAATGATAAAACTGCTAAATCTACTAGAAGGACAAAGAAAACCAGAAGCATGCTTGAAACGGAGTAAAGGGATTGGTAAAAGCACAAACTGAAAAAAAAAAGTCTGATCAGTAGCCCATTGTGTTCTGGTCTTCCACACTGCACATGGTAGACACTGACACAAAGATCAATCACTTCCATGCATAAACTCATGCATTCCCTGTCACACAGACTTCACCCACCTGAGAGTAAAAGTACCACAGTTTCTCTATTCCCATCAAGGCAAGGTCACTTTCATCATTTCTTGTTATCTTTCACTCCTAGTTGCATTTTAAAATCATCTGTGTCTTTGCTACATATCATTAACACAAGGGAAATTTTTGAGTGTCCTCTACATTGAGCGCTGGGGTTAACAACAGCTCCTTACCTATAACTCTGAGCACAGTGCCAACTCCAAAGTTAAGCTGCTGGTTTGCACAGCTGTACAAAGTCAGGCTGTAACCCCCAGTGTCATTATGCTCTTCCTGCCAGCCACATAGTTCCTTAAAATGGTACTGTTTAAAGGAGCAGATACCAATATTTCTAATTTGCTATCAAATGGGGCAGTAGCAGAGGGAAAAGTTGCTTTGTTCTGTTATTCCAACATGCCCTGATATAGGTGATGTTAAATCCTTTGTTGGGATGGGAGAAAACAGAGAAAGAAAATGGGGAAAAGGAAAAGAATAGCGGAAAAAAGTATGCTTTTACTTTTATATAATAAAATATATATATATAAATAATGCAGTCCTTGCTGAGCAGTAGACATTGTGAGAAGGACTGTTAGCAGTAGCCAGCATCCCAAAGCAACTTTAGAGAGCCTGCCAACCATCTATGGAGAGGCAAGCAAAGTGCCAGCAAGATTACTCTTTCCTTCCATGATTCAGCACACAGGAGAATCCAGACTCTACCTACGAAGTGCTGCCTTAGATCATTACACAGATGAACTGCAAGCACCTGCAGAGCAGAGAAGCGTTTTTCATTCCCAATCTCTATAATATTTTCTTGGAGAATGGGTGAAAATAAAAGTATTTAATCCCCTCTCCCTTCATGAAGTTCCCAGAATTGAAAGACAAAGACAAAGACACAAGGACCTCAACACTGTAATTCCTACACTTCCATAATGGCACATCTCATTTTAATAAGCAACCAATAAATCATTAATCCTGTTCTCATGTCTGCATGAAAAATTATTATTATTAAGCTTTTAATTAAGAATGTTCTTGTCCCCTAAACCAGTATCACATAGATCACAGAGATCTGACTTCTTACTTACCTATGACTGTAAGTTTTGTCCCACTGCCAAAGAACAGTCTATCATTATTCACACTGTTTTGCAGCTGCAGAAAAACCTCTCCTCTATTCCCAGATCTCTGAGCCAAGCCTGTGGGCTAACCCTCCCCTCATGAGGAGAGCAAAAGAAGAGACACAGAGTACATTTATCTCAGGTCTCCTAGAAAACAAGTCTGTAAGGGAACAGCAGCAAAACTGTGTGTCTAAATAGCTGAGATCAACGTCAGAAATACACTGTCCAAGCCCTTTTGCTTCAGGCTCAATCAGTTGTTGGAGCTTCTACCATTTCTTTAGAGGATATTTATCTATTGATCTAGGTGTCATATTAGAATATTAGAAAATATTTCCCAAATGCCAACATTCCCTGTGATCTCTTTCAATTTTGAAATCAATTATATATTATTCTTCTGTGGTTTTCAGTGGCTATTTAGTGCCTATTCTGAAATAGTAAGACTGTTGTCCTTTGTGACCTTTGTATCACCATCCTGGTGAGCCTGTTCAGTGGAAAGTCTGGCTGTGCTGTGGAGAGCTACTTTCTACAACAAAAAGGACTTAAACAGGTGCAGAGAGATTTTAGTGTTGCTTATGATATTGTTGAGTATTTATTTGCCTTTTTTTTAATAATTAAAAATGCTAGTACACTTTTTTTCCCAGTTATCTAAGATAACATATTCTTTAATTCACCCCAGGAAGATCCAAGGCAATTTAAGCTTGTATCATCTTGATTTTGTTTTCTAGACCCCTTCAAAATGTAAGTCAGTTCTTTCCAGAGAGATAGACAACCTTTCACTGACTTGTCCTTCATCATTTCTAGCCCCAGGAGAACCAGCATAATACAGACTAGATATACTTTAGGGGAATTTCTGTATTTCTCAAATGAAAGGTGTGTCCCTGCCTAGACCACTAAACTTACTCTCCGAAGTGTACTGGATTACCAGCACAGCTGGAGAACACCAGTTTAATAATAAAGTGGAGGATAATAAAGATGATGCTCTCTACAGAGAAGACATTGCATTTGAAGTGAATTAAAAGAGGAAACAAAAATACCTTACCCATTACTGTAAGTTTTGTGCCACTGCCGAAAAGCATATCTGCACTTTTCACAGTGACAAAGGGATGTATCATAAGCTAAGAGAAGGGATGCACGGCAGCAGGCTTACTATAAGCAAACATTACTGTTTTTGGAACCCCAAACATGACCCATTCTCTGTCTGAGGTGGTTCTGGACCACTGGGAGTGAACTAAAACAAATCTCTTTGTTTTCCCTTCCATGAAGGATAGCTGTCTTGAATAGTCTTTCAGGATCCTGTTCACTTTTCTGACAAGTTAAAATAATCCACACAAGGAGAGCCCAGAAGAATCAGCTCTGTGGTCCCAGATGAACCCTTCAGGGCCATTAGGAAGAACTCCAGTGAGACAGAGGGGAGAAGGACTAGAGGCAACCTTTGTTCTCACAGGCATGAGGCAGTCCACAGATATTGGAGGCCTATTAAGACAGAGAACCCAAACACATCTTATGTAGTGCCTCTGAGAGACACCTGCTACGTGTCAGAATTCTAACACTTGTACCACATCAAGAAAGAACCAGTTTGTCATCTCTTGCAAATATTGGTGCATCAGGAAACAATAATAATCCCAGCTTTGCACGCTCAATAGGCTTTAGGTAAATCTGCAGTCAGTTTGATTTGCTGAAAATTCATTTCAGTATCTCAGAATATGCTAGCTTGCTTCACAGAGAGGGCAGGCTCAGTTCTCAGCTGATGAAAATAGGTCCCAGCATACAAGGTCTGTTAAGAGAAACCAAGGCAGAGCACACCTGCTCTGCTGTATAATCCTCTGCAGCTGCCTTAACACGCTCTGCCACAAGGCTCCTGCACCAAAGGGTTTTTGTAAAGGCTTCCTGGGGAATGTATCATCGTGGACCCCCCTGTCCCCACAATGATACAACCTGGTACAAAAACAATCCCACCCATGACTCCACCCCCTGTTCCACTAGGAATGATTGCCCTGAGTACCTGCACTGGTTTGGACTGTGGTAGAGCTAATTTCTTTCCCAGCAGCTACTGTGGGGTTCTGTTTTGGGCTTGTTCTGCAAATGCTGTTGACAGGATAGAAGTGTTTTTGTTATTGCCGAGCAGAGCTTGCACAGCATTCAAGAGCTTTTCTGCTTCTCCTACCACCATGCTGGCAAGGCAACTGGTGGTGGTGCCTGGGAGGAGGGACAGCAGGGACAGCTGATCCCAGCTGATCCAAGGGATGGTCCATATCCTATGGCATCATGCTCACTGTGTGAAAGGGGTGAGAAGGGGGTAGAAGGAAGAGAGGGACATTTGGAGTGATGGTGTTTGTCTTCCCCAGTCACCCTTATGTGTGATGGGGCCCTGCCATCCTGGGAATGGCTGAACACCTGCGCGCCCATGGGAAGCGGTGAATGAATTCCTTGTAATGCTTTGCTTGTGTGCATAGGTTTTGCTTTACCTCTTAAATGTCTTTATCTCAAGCCACTAGTTTTTCAATTCTATCCCCAGTCCTGCTGGTGGGGAGTGAGCAAGCACCTGCATGGGGCTTGATCCTGGCTGGGGCTGAACCATGGCAGAACCACAGACCACATCCTTCCTTTGCCATTGCTGTTTCTATGTGATAGCCCAATTACCTCTCAGTGTATCCATTACCCCTAAATTTATAATCTTAGATTTTTTTCTTATACTCAAAAAGAGAACTTTTTTTTTTTTTTGTTCTTTTATTGGTTGACCTTAAATGCAGTAAATTTTCACTCGGTAGCATCATGTTCATGATGCTTTCCTTCCTACTCTTTCTCTCTTCTGTGCCCAGCATGACAAGCAAACTTCAAGCTCACAGTTTTTAATTTTTGGTTTGCAACGAGATCAATTTGCTTACTACAGGCTGGTGTTTGTCTTTTTGGCTTGGTGTTGCTTGAGAGTGTCCTCCCAGGGCTTGTGACTCTGCCTAAGAAAAGGCTTCATCTAGGAGTAAGAGCAAGCCTTCATTCTGCAGACTGCCTGAAGGGATGGGAACTGATGGGGACAGGTAACAGGCAAATTTTATCTCCTTGCCTTACAAATAAGTGGAGGAGTCTTGTCTCAAAGAGTGTCAACACATAGTTGCTAACCTAACCAGGTACCTGCAGTAAACATGCTTTTTATACTGCCCTTTAATGGCTACATTTGACTCTTCTTGGTATGAAAAATAGATTGTAAAGCACAGGAAAAAATCCTCCGACACAAGGTCATTCTAGTAGGAAAAATCACAAATTAATTTTGCATTATTTTCAGATATCCCTGATCTTCTGCATCCAAATTTACACTGCCACCCCTCTACCTTATTCTGTGTTATTCCTATATCTATTCAGAAAACATTTATACATAAAATGCATGACCGTTCTTCATTTAGTCCATTGTGAGTTTCCACTGAATTAACCATAGCTTAACTTTGGTGTGAGGTAATAATGA